AAACAAAAACCACTTAACCCAGAAGTAAAAGATGAATTACAAGAACAACAGTAAGCAAAGAAAATTATAATGTGCTTCAAATATAAATATTGATTATTAAAAGTAGGGATACTAAAATACTACAATACATGAGAAATAGGAGAGAGGTAAACAGAATAAAATGGTCTAAGGTCCTATCATTAACATATCCATATTAAATATGCACTTAGAGATTTAGGATCTATTAAGTATGCACTTAGTAAATTTGGGTTTAGTTCTGAAACAGCAGACTAAAAAAAAAGAACATTCATAAGTCAAGACCGAAAAAGAGAAGTGAGTCAAAGAATAAAAATTGAGAGGGGATGTGAAACACCATCATCATCAGTATCAACAATCTAAATAAATATTAATACATTAAACTTTTTTTTAAAAAACAGAGAATTCAGATTTAGTGAAATGCAAAACTAACAGGGAGCAATCTTAGACATACAATGATGAATGAAAAAAGCAACTTGCAGAGCTTAAGCCACTAATACATTTTTTAACTCAAAGCAATTGGCTGGTAGCATCTAAAAGCATTATATGCACTAGAACTATATAAACAAGAGCACACGTGTACCTCAGGGTGTTTTGCCTGAGAGTGGGGAGGGTTCTAGAAAGGGGTACAGAGTGTTTCATGGAATTTATCTGCCTTGTTAGGTGAGTCACTTTGGATAACCACCTGCCCTGTAAGAGGATGCAGACCCAATTCTACTACAGTGTCACCTGGAATAGATGGAGAGTAGAGCTGAGCAAAGAGAACCTTGATGTGGGGATAACCAGGATCAGCAAGAAAGAAGATACCAAGTTCCCTCTTTCCACTGCCCCACAGAGGTGAGTGTCTGGATCTATAGGCCGGGTCGTGGAAGGCAGTGCTCTCTCGTTTTTTATGCCTTTTTACATTGCAGCTCAAGAAAGCTATGGCATGGGGGGCGGTGAGGGGCCATGCGGGGTACATGGTGCCTAGTGCCAGGGTGTTGGGGTTCGGAATGTCTGTGGGCTACAGTGTCATCTCAGAACATGAGCTGTCCTTGAGTATCCTGCAGCCCATGGAAATGAGCCAACCCCCTGCCAGGGTGTGAGACCATCAGGGTGGGGGAAGGGAGTTGAGCTTGGGTGTAACCCTTCACAAAGGGGGTGAGGTGCCCCTGGTGGAAGCTGGACTATTGTCTAAGCAACCTACAGTGAATTCCAAGCACATTTTCAGAAAACACAAATCAGTGCACTGTCGTATTGCTAATGGTTTATTGCTTAAAAAACCAAATGAGGGAAGGGACTTTGGAACAAAGATGACAAAATACTAACAGTTGTTCAATCTCCCTGGCCTGTGCCTGAGGGCTTGTTATTTTACTGTCTGGAAGAGTTTGCTTAAGTAGTACTGCAAAGCCCTCTCCGGGCTCTATAATCCCACTACTTCCCTGCAAAGTAATCACTGCATAGATGTTGGTGTTTTTCCACAACTGTTTTTCCATGGAGTCAAATATGCACACCTAGAAATACTAAGCTTGTGTGCAGAGTGGGAGAGGACTGTTCTTCCCGTCGTTTGGAGTTTTGGTGTGTGTGGAAGCTTTCTCATCTGTTCTCCTTCAAGCTGTAGAGATTCTGTGTTCCTAATACTATGTTGGCCTTCTCCTTTTGTGACTTGGGTAGTCTGGGAATTAGTCTCTGGTAATTGAGATATACCAGAATAAAAAGACAGAGTAAACTTTGGATAGCCAAGATCCTGTTTCTCAGTTTACCTGAGAAGGGTAAACTGGCACTTCTTTATCATATTGCCCTTTAGAAGCCAAACATCCCCAAAGGCTTCGATTTTGATCAAACATAAGAAACAAGGCCTTCCGTCCTGTAAAGGACGGTTCTGTGTCTCGTCGGCATTTCTTGAACTCTTAACAGTCCCACTTGCTTCCTGTGTTTTGATTTTCTCTCGAATCTTCACGAAGGGAAGTGAGTGTGTTCTGAGCATAGGCCTGTTTGCTGTTCTGAGGCTGCCGTCTCTTCATCTCCCAGTTCTTCTAGCTCTTTCCACTCCTGGGCCAGAGAAAGACTCCTTTCTTCCTTGAGTGAAGCAAGCACTCACATTCTTTCTGTTTGTCCCTTTTCAGCCAGGCCTAGACTGTCTCCCCCTCACTGTTGTATACCTTGAAATGCCTCATCATGCACATGTTAAAAGTAATTTTTATTTATGATACGACCCCTTGAACTTCCCATCAAATTTTTTCCCCAAAGGCATCTCCCCTCACCGCGCCCCTCCTTCTCCCATTCCCAAGGCCACTGTTTGATCTAGTTACATTTTTATATGGAAAACATTTTAAGCAGCTCCAGTTGCTGATTTTACAAAGAATAAAAACAGAACTGATCGGAGCTGTTTTTGGCAGGCACCCTGAGACCCAAGCAGCAAGCCACTGATAGATTCCTGCTGCACAAGTGATTTGTTTTGTTTTATGAACTTGTACAAGCAACTCTTTCTTTTTTAAGGGGAATATGGTCGGGAAAGAAGGGGGGAAAAAAGACCAGCATACCAGGGGGTAGCACATACTCTGTTCTTTAACCAACTTTTAAAAATATGTTTTATGTCAGTATCTGAATTACAGAAAGCAGGCTGACACACACTCTTTTTTTGTTGTTATTGTTGTTCAAACTCCATGCTGAAAGTGGGTGTAAAATAATCCTTTTGCTTTGATTTCTGAATTGGTTTTGATGAGTTGGATATTAAATGTGACTTGTCCAAAAGGCACATATTGATGCAGGGCATAAGTGTCAGCATTTAGATGGAGAATAATTGGATTCATATCTGTGTTATGTTTTCAAATTGCTGGGTCAGTTCTGGGTCTCCCGCTGTAAATTCTTCACTGCAGGCCCAAGTAAAAGGAATGTGACAGATTTAATACCTAGAATAAGTTATTAACTGTAAGGAGGCATAAAACAGTGGTGGCACTGCTGAGCAGAGAACATTACACTGCTCATAATTCTGTAAATGAAAATTAAAATGTTTTATATAGCACTGAAATATTTTTCTTCATTAACTCCTTTGCTTTACTCAAGTCCGTTCTCTATGTTTGATCTAATGGAGAACAACCACTTTTATCTGACCACTGAAGTCATGACTGTTTCAGTTGTACCATCCAGGTGTGAGACAACGAATTGGGAAAGAGAAGGGAGTTACTGATCATGTTTCATTTCCCAAAAGGTCAGGTGGCTACTGTAGTTGATCCTCTCTAGGTCAAGTCCCGTTATAAAGATTTTGTGAGCCATCATTTTTCTGTCATAGTGTCAGAGTGTTACAGTGCAGGAGAGAGAGGCATCACTGAACCCCCAAACCTGCCTATTCTAAATAAGTTCTGCCATCTGCTGCATCAAGACAAGACATGTAAGAAGTTTAATGGAAAGGAACTTTAATACAATGAGTGTGCAATACAGCAGTCATAAAGAATATAGTTTCTAAATCAAACACCCAAAGTTAGCCATCCCCTTGTAAGTAAAAGTCCACCCAAAAGGGATTGGCCCAAAGCAAGGCCTGAAAGCCTGCCACAAGTCTAGAGCACCTTCTGGCTGGGACCCAAGGAAAGGGTCAGAAATGGCCAGGCAAGTCTGGGAGGAAAAGAGCAAAATCAAAATCAAGATTAACGCTGCCATAGTCAAACCTCCCCATGGGTCTCTCACCCACTTTTGTTTCAACCAGTCCAGGACCAAGAAGAAGCAACTGCAGTTTCTTCACATGTCTCTGCTCCAGGCGCCTCCCTCAGGTCTCCTCTGGCTCCATCCTGTTTCCTTCCTTTTCAGTCTCCTCCCCAGATTATTCTTCTCTCTTTGCTCAGCTCCACCCTTCTTTGGGTGGGGCAGGGAACCCCGGTTGTCCCCTTTTCCTGGGGACCACCCTGTTTCAAAAGCACACTTCCTACCAAAAAGAGGGAAAATTGAATCTCTGCTAAGTAACTGGGAAATTATTTGGAAGATAGGATGACAGGAACAAAGAAAGGGTGGGCACAGATGTTTTTCACTCTTTACCAGCATTTTCAAGGAGGCCACTGCTGGCACAAAGTTTGGCTTTTTCTGTGACAGAATAATCAGCAGTGACTTGCTGTGCCTGGGTTGCTAGGTCATCCTCACTCTGAGGAAATTCATGGCTTCTACAGCACCTATTATCATGCAAGCCAGGTGAGCAGGGAAATTCAATGCCACAATGACTTTTTTTTTTAAAGATTTATTTATTTATTCATACAGAACTGGGGTACAGGCCAGAGATGTGGGGGGTGAGAGGATTCACCAGGGACAGAGTGGGGAGCAGAACAGGCAGATCAAGGAAGTATACACTGCTGAGGGGAGCAGCGGGCGGGCCAGGAGAGGTCTGCCGTGCCATGTGGTCACCTCCGGGGCAGGCGGGGATCGAACTCACGCGGAAGTGGCTTTAGCTTCTTAGTGCTGTGCTTTAACCTGCTGTGCCACCAGGGAGGGCCACAGGCAGCCTTTTAAGTACTTTACAAATACTGGCCCGTTTTATTCTCTTCACAGTGTGATGTCCTCTTTTATTATGAATGAAGAAACTGAGGCTATACTCACATCTCCTCCATATATTAATGTATCTGTTTTCTCTAAATGACTTTATTATTTTCGATTCAAATAAGGAGTATATTGAAGAAATTGGTTCACTGCAATGGATGGAAAATAAATAATACCATGGGTTTGATGTGATCATTATATTTTCAGATACATACTGAGAGGGATGCATATGTCATTTCATCCTCATCAGGGTTAAAATAAAAAAATGGAAAATAGGGCTCTCTCTGGTGGTGCAGTGGGTTAGAGTGCAGCACTGCAAGCTAGCGGTAGCCACTTCAGTACAAATTTTATCCCCGGCCCCAGAAGTGACCCACGTGGCGCGGCAGACCTCTCCTGTCTCACATGCTGTTCCCCTCAGCAATGTACTTCATCAGTCTGCCTGTTCTGCTCCCCACTGTGTCTCTGGGGAATCCTCCCATACCCTGCATGTCTGGCCTATACCCCAGTTCTGTATAAGTAAGTAAATAAACCTTTTTAAAAAATGGAAATAATGAGTGGTGAGAATATAGAGAAATTGGAGCCCTCATGCACTGCTAATGGGAATATAAATGGTTTCATGGCTGTGGAAAGCTGTTTGGCACTTCCTCCAGTTTAATGTTTCATTATTGTATGATTCTGCAATCCCCTTCTTAGTATGTTACCCGAGATTTAAAAACAGGGTTCACATTACTTGTACCAGGATGTCCATAGCAACATGATTCATAATAACCCCAAAGTGCAAGTAATCTTAATACTCATCAGCAGGTGTATAGATCAACAAAATGTGGTATAGCCACACCTTGGAATATTATTTGGTCACAAAAAGGGTGCGCCTTAATGACATTGTACTAGGTGAAAGATGCAGACACAAAAGGCCACGTAGTGTTTGATTCCATTCAAAAGAAATATCCAAAGTAAGTAAATCCACAGGGACAAAAAATAATCAGGGACTGTGGAGTGGGGACGGGATTATCTGCTTAATGTCTATAATGAAAATGTTCTGGAGTTAACTAGTAGTGATCAGCATACTTTATGAATGTAATGAAAACACCAAATTACATGTCTTAAAAGGTAAACATGATGATATGTGGCTTGTAACCAACCCACTTGAAATCCAATAAAAATGCTTTTATAAAAAGAGAATCATAGACCAAAAAAATTGAAGGTGCTTCAAAAGGTATCGCAGTTATTTTCTTTGTGCAGCACCTTTTCTTAGTGAATAAGGATTTTCCTGATACTAGACCACTGAAATAAAATCCCCACAAACAGGATGATAAAGCCATGTAAATATGGATACA